GTGTTGCCTGTAAAATGAGTTTTCAACCTTGAGTATGCAGGCTAAATTGTCTGCAGAAGTCCGCAAGAAACTTCAACTATTGAGGCTCTACAAGTCCTCAGACCTAGATGACTTACCGACGGCCATTTTTAAGATGCATGGTATTCTACTGTCTGTGAGACTGCCTGAGTTGTTAAAGGCAATTCACCTTTCACTGGTTGACACTTATCAGCAAAACATGTTTACAATCTTTTAGTAGAGAACTAATATTACCAGTTAGATGTGTATTCAAGTCATTCGATTTCATACTTTGAAACAGTAAATACCACATTAGAATGAATGTCATAAATCTAATCATTATGTTATAATTCTTACAGCTGATGAAAATCATTAAGTTTCGATGAATTCAACCAGCGATAGATAATTCAACTTAACACACATGAAAGTTTATTCTTTATTGATACAAACTGCGTTCATTGCTAAAAACTAAGTTTAACTAGAGATTTACTTACTTGTGCCTGTTACCCCCAATGGAAAATAGGCCGCCCACCAGTTTTCTCCAACTAACTCTGTCTTGGGCTTCCCTAAAATTATAAATATTTATTTGTAACAAAGAAAGAATAAAGTATCCAACTTTTATACCTTTTTCTTGACAATTCTAAACTCTGTTTTTTTTCTTCTAAAAATCTTTTTTTACCATTTAAAAGGAAATGGAATTACTACTTTTTTTCTTTCTTTTTGATAACACTGTCAATAATAAGTAGTAATAAACTGTTTAAGAAAAAAAAGCGTAGTTTTTAAAGTGCAAGGAAAAAAACCCATAAAAACTCAAAAGTCAGCAATGAATTGGAATTTGGAAGTTTTGCACAGCATAGATTCATCTTACTTACAAAAAAATGAACGAAATACCAGTCAAATAATTCTTCTTTGTCTTCAGTTTTATTTCAAGTACCACCTTTAGCGCTAGACAAAAAAACACAAAACTTCCGGTAAATGCAAAGTCAAGTAAAACGATACCATAAATAGTGATTTGATGGATATTGGAAATAATCTATCTTTAGTTACTTGTTGATATGTAGTTTTTATTAATAGAAAATACTCACTTCACGTTATCAAGGAGTTATACATTCAAAATGATATTTTGTAGGAAATGTTTATTTAAACTCAACTGTGTATAATCACAGTTATGAGTTTAAATTAGGTTTATTTAGTGATGAATGTATGTATATATAATTTCTGGTTAGCGTATTTTTAGCGAGTTAGTTTTCTACGGGATGAGGTAGCCAACACTAAGCTAAATTTGTAGGATTCAAACTGAAATTTAGACTGAGGAATAACTGGCCATGTAGATTAGATATGCATCTTGCCCAGCTTCAATCCAAAATAACGGTTCTAAACAATATTACCACTTCATTATTCCTTCGACAATTTTTCAGTTATTCAAATCCATAGCAGATGAATGATATTCTATCCCTTCTGGATAGATCCGATCAGATCGTTCGACAGATAATATTTGGTTACTTTATAACACAGAGTGTTTCCTATTCTGGAAGAGTGCTTCAATTCACAAACAATCAAAATGCAAAATTCCAGTCAGTGCAGCTAATCCAATCAAAAGAAGAACAAATCAATATGGATGTCGTCATGACCAAGTATCAGCTTAAACAAAATAATGCAGTTCATTAAGAAACATAGAAACTTAGTGAAGGCACAAAAAGTAGAAACTGTAATAAAATACAAATGTTATTATCACAAAATGGAACCGAAAAGATTAACAAAATGTACAACTGAAGGAATCATCAATAAGGAAAAATTACAAATGTATACTTGGTGTGACTTTCACAAACAAAGCCTTCAGAAATGGATCTTACACAACCAACCCCCCTTTATCCGGGCTTGGGACCGGCGGTAGCCGCAGTGGGGCTCTAGGCAGAGTACATATATGTATATGAAAAATAAACCCAACAGAATGTCGGACATATCAGAAAATAATAACGGGAAAATAGACAACATAAGCAGATCTGCATTATACCGAAGGATTTTCTTGTTCATTGGACATTTTGAATGTTCTTTTCTGATAAGGTTGTTTGATTTTCAAGCTATTTTATGTATATCATTAAGTAATTGAATAATCTAGAAAATAAAAGTATTGGGATCTTCTAATGTTTTTGAATTTTCAAAGTCAATCTCATTGATGGCTAATAATTTGAATTATATTACCAACAGATATAAGTATTACGAAAATTGAAACTGTTTCCATAATTGTTGGGATGGTTAGATCCCCAGAACTCGCTTGATAAATGTCTTAATTATGGATTTTATTCATAGACCGATCAGTTGACCTTGAGATCACATTTCCACCAGGAGAATCCTAGGCTGTGATCGGTTTCTGTGTTATTTTAGTGTGCTATTTTGTGAATCTCCCAAGAATGTCTCCATGATGTATAAATAAACGTGATTTGTGTGCTTGGATTGATTGTGTGCTGGCTGGGTGTTTGTGGAGTACACTTTCTACGCTATATCAAGACTTCTTGTTTGTACATTGAGTCAACGGATCACAGTAGCCTACCTGGACGCTGGTTCGTTGTCTCATTCTCGCTATCTTACTAATGTGAACCCGTAATATTTTTAAGCATACCTAAAGACGAGTGTAACATGAATGAACATTAACTTTATTAACAAAATATAACTGAGTAGATCAATATCTTTAAAATAAATCCATTTGTCATTATATAATTGTAGACATTGTAGATACATTAATATCGACTCAATGATTGACAACTCTGATGGTTTCGTGCAAGACTAAGGGTCTTGATTGAAATAGCCATCCAGTGCTTTTATATTTCAACTGTTATCAAAGTTGGGATAGTTTATAATTTAAGTAAAATCCATCTGTTTTGTACATATTACTGATTATTCATGGTATTATTCATGTTACTCGTGTTCTAAGTAACAAATGAATTATTCTGAACAATTTTAAATCTGAAATAACATTAAAATCATATTAGAAAGTAAATTGTTACGACACAGGCTCAATGAGCCTATGAATAAATAACAACTTCAGCAAGAATCAAGGCGAACACATTGATCAACATAAAAATTAGGAGGAAAAATCACCGAATTTCGGTGAATTTTTCAAATATTTCACCTTCAAAGTAACTTATTTTTTGGGCATGTTGTTTTTAAGACAAAATTAAACTGAGTAAACCTAATTTTAATCCAGTGATGTTGCGATGAAAAGAATAGTGTGTTTTCATGAAGTGAGAAAAACATGTGAAATTAAACTTATTCAGTGTAACAAGTGTACAAATTCTTACATGTCAATTATATTAATTATGGTAATTGTCTCATAATAACGGAAAAAACATTCCATGCATCAATAATACATAACAGTTGGAAGAAGATTCATTTTCCTGTCAAAATAGAAGCTGATTTACTACTTAATTTTTTTGAAAAGATCTTGACATGTGTGTATTAAAATATTTATTTTCACTATCTTTTTTTACCCCAAATTTCTTAAACCTTTCATAATTGTACTATTTTAAAGTATTCAATCATTTTTGTTTAAATGTGTAAAATAATTGAAACTTTAATTGTACTCATTAAAAAAAATTTCTTTCTTAAAAATTATTTCATGAAAATGATTGACATATGTCAGTACTTCATTAGTATTATAAATTTATGACCGTATGAAGAGTTTAGTTTGTAAAATGTTTGAGAAAAATTAACAACAATATAAAAACACAAAATGGTTCAATGTTCAAACACTTTAATTTCTTTTTTGGGGGCATAGTTTTGGAGGTTTGTGTTTTTACACATTTGAAATCATCAATCAATCATTGTTAGATCGTCATTAGAAACCTGGAAGCACTGGACGGCCGTTTCGTCCTGGTATGGGACTCATCAGTGGCAGTGAGCATCCACGAATCCTGCTCCTCGCAGGATTCGAATTCGGGACTTTCAGTATTGTGCGCGAACGTCTAACCATCGGACCACTGGGTCGGCATCCAACGGTGTTAATGTCTAACTCTGATTGATCTATGGATTTTGAACGACTTCACCCATTTGTTTTTGATAGTTACTGTCTACACCCGACAGGGTTGAACTCCATGGATCACGTCTTCTCAACTAGAACTTCTATAATTTCCTCGTTGATGCGCACTGATGATGAGTCCCACAGCAGGACGAAACGGCCGTCTTTCAGTGCTTCCAGGTTTCTAATGGTGGTCTAACAATGATTGATTGATGACTTTAATTACTGTTCATTATTTAATTATCAAAAGATAAGTTGAATTGTGTGAAAAAACAAGTAGCGCTTTAAATGAATTAATTAATTGTACAAATGGATGAGCTGTAAATTTAAATATGCACTTAGATTGTATTAGGTTGTACATGTATGAGAAGTAAAAGGGTTTTGTGATATGTGATTGACATATTTGTGCACATGTCATAATTAAGACTAATTAAGCGTATTCAAATAACAAACTAGAATTGTTTTACGACAAATAAACTCACAGGCTAATTGTTTATGCAGTAAACAACACACACATATATATATATATATTTTCATCAAAAGGTTTGTGTGTATTTTACATGTCAGTTTTTTTTAGCTACGCACACACACTACGGCATTTTGACTAACATGCACCAACAAGATTTAAAAAAATGATGATAGGTAGATAGGATAGATATGTGAAAAGGGTGTATATTTTGCCCACCAACGATTGTTGCAAATTTGTAAAACTAGTTCACAACCAAATAAATGAAAAAGAAAAAACAAACATGATAGTGTATCACTGGAATAAGTTAAAAGTACTGTGAACACATGGATATGTCTAGAATGTGTACTAAAACTGTGCAACAATCCCGTGTACATTTTGAATACAAACATTGAAAAACTTTAGTAGCACAATTATTTTCTTATTGTTGAATATATACATATATATATAAATATCTGTTCATATCATGTAAAAATCATTGAATGTAAATATAAGTTTCGCTTTGTTATTATGGGAAAAATAATATAATGATGGACTATTTATTTGTAATAAAAATTCCTTTTATTTAAAAATGATAAGTCATACTCATCTTTGAACAAATTGAATTGTGTATTGATCATGATGAATCTCTTGGTTTGATTTTACCGGTAATAGAACCAACAAACAAACAATCAAACAAACAAACAACTATGTCAAAACAATTGAATTTTGAATCAGATTCCATGCATAAATCTACAACATTGAATGTATTGCATAAAAAATGGAATGTTCTACGTACAGGTGTTCTATGGGCACAACGTTTAAAATCTATGAAACATACCAAAACATCGGATGTAAATTATGCTCAGTTAAATAATAAATTTTATAATTGTAGCTTTACTAGTCAAAATTATACTGTCGATGAAAACAATACTACTAATAATACTTCTGCTCATAACAGTAATCATAATCATAGTTTTAATAATAATAATAATACTAATTACACATCACAACGAACTGTATCAAATATCACAAGATTAACTGACAAAGATTATGATTATATTGATAAGTTGCAAAAACGTAATACTGTCATTAAACATTGTTCATCTGCGAAACGTTTAGCAAAGTAAGTTGTAAAAAAATACACTTGTTTTTCTTGTAATTGAATTACATTTGATGACAATCTATATAGTATAGATTGGATTATTTCATTGATAATGTATATGTAAGATTATAAAGCATACAAAGGTTGTTATAAGATATTTTTTGACTACCGAAAATGTTATTTATCTTGAAATCATGTTAGAATCATTTTAAGACCATCATTAGGTACCTTGAAGCACTGGAGGACACTTTTGCCTTGGTATGAGACTCTTTAGCAGCGTGCATCCACGACTCTTACGACTTTCAGGATTAAGACCCGGGACCGTCGGTCTTGAGCGCGAATGCTTAACCTGTGGACCATTGAGCCGACATCCAGTGGTGTGAATATATAACTCTGATCAATCTAAGGCTTGCCGATTGTCTTCGGTAGTTACTGTCTGCACTCGACAGGGCTGAACTCCGCTGGTCACATCTTCTCAATTTAATATCAACATTAGAGAGGTTGATTAAACTTGGTTAAGATGCCAATTCAATAGTTAATAAGATAAAAACAGTTATGTTTAATACTCTCAGAAATTTACTTTCAAATAATAGTGTGACTAACGCTTCAGTTATTAATATAAGAACGTAATTACGCTTGTATACACTGGTGTAGTGAAGGAGAACACAGGTGAGGGCAACCGAATTGTATTTAACGAAAATTACAGAGTTACTCAGTAAAATAGGAAAACCATATCGTAACCGTGAATTTGCAAATCTTCAATCAATCATCAATCCATTGTCTGACATTTCACTATTCATGCGTTTCATACAAATTCCATTGTGTTCCCACTCTTCCTTTCTTGATCTTCCCCCATCTTCTGCTGCCAGACATTACGTTGACGCTCACGTCATATACTACTTATAAGTAGCGCGCACCACAATGGTATTGAGCAGAGAGTTTCAATGTTATGTTACTTGAATATTATCATAATTTATAAATATTATAGTGTTATAATAGTTTCTGTATTACATAATAGGAATTTAGAACAGAATACACTTTAGGTAGACAGATATTGTAAACTATTTAAGTTCCTTGTATACAGCTACTTCATAGATGACTTATATACCCATAATTGAATTATTCCCATAATGCAACCACCCTTCACGAGAAATAAATAATTACATTTGTTATACAGTATTACAATCAGTTACTCTAAACAAAGCAATTGCATTTTCTGATGATAGGTTAAGTTGAGTTTTTTGTTCTCACTAAATGTTTCAATTTTTCACCGAATAGATTCAAAGTCTTCAAATAGCATTTTATTTACAGAAACGCGTTTCTGTAATAAGAAATTTCACTACACAAACTTCACTAAATACATGACCTTTTTTCTATATAACCATGGTAGATAGTTCATTCAGTGACACTTTCTTACAATTCACTAACTCGTTATAGTGTTTTTTATATATTTACCTGCCTATGTGCTCCACTGGAACAGCGTACACTAATCACAGACATCATTCAGTTTTACTGAATGAACGGATACGTGGCAAGATTACTATGACGAATAAGAAGAAGGAATTTATACAGTCATAAAATGAATAGCAGTTCAAAATTCCATTCATTTGGATTGCATAAATATATGATTATATATTGTTATTACATTTCCAATTACGGTTACTTAGCAACGTACTAAACTATTAAATATGAAGTAGTTTGCATTGTATTTTATTGTGACGATATTTTCTGATTGTGAAAAACGATAAATAAATAAATAAATAATGAAATAAAAGTTAGTTATTGAAACTTGAAAATCAGTTTAACATTTGAACACGTGGTGGTTATATATGTGTGTTTTGTAAAATTCCAGAACACATTCACATTCACAACAGTATACATGTACAAATAAATCAAGATAACAATTTCATTATTGTATGATATTGTTTCGCCTGTAAATAATTTTATAATAATGTGAAACCTGGTCGCTTGAACAAAAGACAAAAACAGATTTTGTACTTTTATTTATGCGCAAACAATATAAACAATGTAATTGTTTAATAGGGGAAAAGGTTATATCATACTTAGTTATTCACACAAAATCATCAGTCAATCATTGTTAGACCAGTATTACAAATCTGGAAGCACTGGACGGACATTTCGTCCTGGTTTAGGACTCATAAGCAGTGGACATCCACGACTCCTGTGCTCCTCGTAGGATTCAAACCCAGGATTTTCGGTCTTGCGAGCGATTGCTTAACACCTGGACTACTCGGTCGGCATCCAACGGTGTTGCTGAGCTCAACTGGTCCCGTCCCCATACCAGGACGAAATGGCTATCCAATGCTTCTTCCAGGTTTCTGATGGTGGTCTAACAATGATTGATCGATGATTTTGAACTTCATAACTGCGATTGAAATAATGTATATTTATGACTGTTAGAAATCCCGACAGATTGAGTACAGTTTTTAAATCTCATTTGATGTAATAAAGAAATTGATCAATAGAAGGCATTATTAAAGATTTTACTTGTAAATAATAGATGTCTACTGAATACTTATTGTATAATTCTTATACATAAGAAGACTCTAAGTATATTACGTAATATATCAACACTTCTTATTTCGCTTGAATGGTCAGATTGGTTATCGCTCATAAATTTACAAGTATCATATGAAAATGTGGTATCATGAAACTGAAAGAAAACACATTCCGTGATGTTGCATTTTTTTCAAGCTAGAATATTTATAATCATCATGATCAGTACGATTGGAATCTGCACAGGGAAACTAACCCCGCCACCCTTTATCGAAACCGATTATGCAAATGAAAAGAAAATTAATTGCGAAAATTTCCTGCCTATGCATTTTTCCAATGAAATGAAATAAAATAAAAAGCCTAGAATGATTTGATTGCATAGTTGACCTACCTACATTAAACAAGTTTCTAAAATCGGTGGATAAATAAATCAATAGTGTTGTTGACCTTTTAGAGAGTCATAAAATATTAATTATTCCCATGTCTTTCTTGATGTTGCCCACAGTTTAGTTTATCCGATATAAAAAAAAGGTTACTTAGATCAATTTTTTCGCGTAAATAAAGGTCAGACTTAATGTTCAAAGCAAAAGAAATTTGTGATCGTAAATACTTTTTTTATATTTATTTTATTACCGTATCAGTTATCTAGATTAGAATGACTTGAAGATATCAAGGTTTGCCTTACAAATGATTGAGACTCATAAATTTAGAACAAAAAATAGAAACTAAACAAGAAAGTCATATGATCTAGTCTCATATGAATTGAAAGGAAGCAGTCTAATTGGCGACGTTGAGAAATATAAACAAATTATAGTTTGAATATTGAATGACTTCTTATTTTGAATGTTGTTCAATGGTCAATGTGATATCAATTTTGAAATGATGTATCGATAGATATTTGTTTTGGTTTTAAACATATTAGTGTTTATGAGTATTTAAAGTTAGGGTAGACTTGATCAATGCTGTATAATTTTAATTTAGATAGTGAATAACTTTCTTTTGTAAATGTTAATTATGAGAAAATTAAATTTCAATAAACCATATTGGTTCTGATTGAGTTCCATCCCAGATAAGTTATATCACATTACTGTACTTGTTTAGACAAATAAGTCTCTAAAAAAGGTCAAATACCTGTATTTCAATAGGTGAAATCATGAACTAACCCTAAGCTAGACAATCATTAGAAACCTAAAAGCACAGAGTGAAACAGATGATTAATGATTCTAGGTTTCTGTCAGTGATCTAGTTTAGATCAGTTCATAATTTCAATGACGAAAATAATACAATTCCACACTACTGATGAGTCTTATACTAGGATGAAACGTTAGTCCAGTGCTTTCAAGTTTCTAATGGTGGTTTACCACTAGACATCATTAGTAAATAGTTACTGTTGAGTTTAACATAAAAATCCTCTCTTGTTGATATTGATTTATGGAAATGAACTAATGTAGTTCTATAGAGATCTCGTGACTTTGTAGGTCAACCAAAATTGAGAAAATGAGATTTTTATCTGTCCCCATGAAGATTGAATGATATTCATTTGTAAATTGAAAATTTACATCAATAAATTTCAATTCCGTCTTTTCATTATCTAGTGATTTCAGCGAATAATCTATGTGAGACCACTTATATGACACAGCTAGCTATTTAGTGTTTGCCCGTTTGTTTGATTTGATGGTAAAGACCAGTTGCTTTTGGAAATTACGTTTTTAAAACAAATTTGCGCAACTTTACATTACGTACTTATAAATACAAGAAAATAACTACATCATAAGGATGACATAGGAGTTTTACTCATTTTCAGTTCGCAACATATTCGATATATAAACTCATACACTTATGTGAATGATTTTGAATTGAAAAATTGATTGATATAACTTTTTAAAATCATGAATCGATCGCTGTGAGACCACCATTAGAAAGCTGGAAGCACTAGATTGCGGTGTCGTCCTGGTATGGGACTCATCAGCAGTGCTCACAAACGAGTCCTGCTTCCAGGTTTCTAATGGTGGTCTAACATCGATCGATTCATGATTTCAAAACTATCCACAACACCATAATGCAAACTACTTGGCTAACTAGTAACTATCTCTATGAGGAATCTTCTCCGAGTCTTAGTAAGAAGTCATGACCAGTGGAGTTCAACCCTGTTCAGGTGTAAAGCAGTGCTCATCGAAGACAGTGAATCGATCGAATTCAGACATCAAGACCGTTCGATACCGGCTCAGAGGTTTAGAGGCTAGACGTTCAAGCACAAGACCGAAGCTCCTGTGTTCGAATCCTGCCAGGTGCAGGAGTCGTGGATGGACACTGCTGATAAGTCACATACCAGCACGAAATGGCCGTCTTTCAGTGCTTCCAGGTTTGTAGTTGTGAGCCAATATTAATTGATTCATGAGTTAAACAAAGTAACACAACCATTTCCACAATTAAGAAATACTTACTACCAGTCGATACACAAACATTGTGTTACAATAATGTGACGATACGCACAAATGATCGAA